TGGAGTATTTGATTGACAATTTCTTTCATTAAAAATATTTTCCAACTTTTGATTACATGACCATATTTTACTTAAAAAAAGAAAAATATTTTCTTTAAGGAGAGGTGATTTTATTTTTCAAATAATTCACTCTATCATTCTCTCTCTTATCTATCCACTCTCTCTCATTTACCCTTCAATGAAAAATAGATAAGTATAATATTTTTTATATTGAAAACTAAATCAATCGAACACATTTAATTACTAATTTTCATATAAATAAGTTCTAAACAATTGAATTGCCTAAAATTTATTTTATTTTCATGCAAATTTCATGCTTGTAATCAAACGCACCCTAAATAGAAAATTTGAATACTTTAAAAAATAGCCAAAAAATGGAAAAAGAAAAACGCTAGAGGAAGGGCTTGAACCTTCGACCTTGTGGAACCAACTGACAATTTTCTTATATTATATAATAATATTTATATCGATAATAATTTCTTAATACCTTTTATGATTGATACTTTATACAGTATTAACTGTTGCTAGGTATTTATAAATCGCCTTTTTTTTTTTATTTAACTCAAAACCAATTTCGCAGCGTGTTGAGATCAAATATAGCCAGATTTTAACCCAAAACCCTTTTTTTATGAATAATTCTAATGGTACATAAATTCTTCTATCTAACGGTGTCCACCCTCTCACATGAGGTGGGATTATGTACCACTAGCATAATTGTTTTTTTATAGGCTAGGCGGCACGAAAATGAAAATGGGAACAAGAAGCAAATTGCCATATGATCCAAAACGACATATGAAAAGTTGGAACAAGATTGCAATGAAACATCATATAAAAAATTATTACCTTATTTTTATAAATTGATTATTTAAACTTTATAAAAAATTTAATATTAAATAATAATAAAAACACACCACCAATCTAATCTAATCAAAGTTTCATCATATACAAGAAATTCTGAATGCTAATAATTTATACATATTAAAATTGTATCAAATCACATTATTGTACAAACTCGAGAACAATTCTAAAATATTCAAAATATATAATTAAAATGAGTTATTTACCTTGGTATCCTTCCAATCAAAGTTTGAAATAATAAAATGTTTCTTGATTGTTGGTTACTCAATTTCGAATTCAGAAGGAAGAATTTATTTCAATTGAAAATTGGAAAGAAAATTAAAATCAATAGAATGAAGGGTCGGCAAAATTATTATTTTTTTGGTGATAATTTTAGGTAAAATTTTCCGTTTACTTCTTTAGTATAATAATTAAAACTTATGATTACGTTAATTTTATGACAGTGCCCATAATTAAGTTGCTTTTTGTTTTCAACATGTAAATAAGTTAAGTTCTTCAGTTAAAAGTTTCAGAATACATCGATCTAAAGTTTATTAGAACTTTCCATAAAGTTTTCGAATTTGAAGAAAAAATAGGAAAAAATTTTGGTCCATCATAGTTTATAGGTCTAAAAGCATATCTATCGACCAATAAAATTATAATTCTCAATTGGAGCCCCCAGAGCACATCTCCAAGTGGTAAAAGGGGAGGGTGAAGAAATACAGCTTTGCTTGAGGTTGCTGCGTCAAGGGTTCGAATCCTGAAATATGAATTTGGCTCTTGGGTAAGTGCAAGTGTACAAGCAGCCTTTCACCCTGTACCCTTGGAGGCATAACCTGCGATTTACCTCCCTCACGATACTCCAGGGCAAGGGTGGTAGGGGACCCTTAAGGTTAGAGTTTAACCTTTTTTATAATTCTCAATTGGATTTGAATAGAAATTCATATTTCCAAAATATATTGGCCTTTATTACGATGAATCCTTGTATACAACCTTTAAGAATTATTTGGTCATTGGTAATTGTTTTTTAGTTAATACTATTCTACAAGCATGCCATCATTATCAGTCTGTTTGGAAGTGATTTTTTGGTCCAAAAAATTGATTTTTTGACCGCTATTTTATTATTACAGCCGTCATATTTGACTTCTTCTCTCACAGATAGACCCCATTTTTCTCGTAACGGTCAAAAAATCAATTCTTAAAATCACTCCAAAACAGGCTCTATATAATGATGCAATGAGAAGACTCGACTGAACATAATTATTGAGAGATAGATGAATAAGATAATAAAATTAATTTTTCACATAAAATCGAAACAGTGATTGAACTTTTAAAGAATAAAATTGATATATAAAGTTTCACATAGTGTAATATAAAGTGTGTGATTGTTATTTTTGGGAACGGATATTTTGATCTATTTAACTACTTTTAATCAAAAATTATAATTTTTTTTAAATTAAGTTGTTTTTTATTATTAAATTATAAAATATAGTATATAAATTACATATCTAAAGAGTATACTGTTAAGTAAATTTTACATCCACCCTATAGAGGGCGTGTTTTGTAAATTTTCCCACACGCTCCATCTAAGCCTTGTTTGGTCTCCATTTTTCCCAAATTTTAATGGTTGGAATAGTATTTTTTTGAAAATGTGTGGTTGAAAATGAATGAAAAGTTTTTAATTTGTGTTTAATATTATTTTATGAAAGATTGTGTGGATAAAAATAAGAGACAAAAAAATGAAAAAGAGAATGGGGAGACCAAACAAGGACCTAATCGTGTGCACGAATTAACCAATTTCATTCGCAACACAAGTCACGATCAAAGTTATAAGGCTGAGGCGCGATTTCAATTTCTTAAGTTTTTAATTCAATTAATTTCTTATTTTATTTTGATTATGAAAAAGAGAAAATGAAAAGAAAATAAAATTCATGACAGTGAATTTCAGACGTTCTTAACATTCTACATGTATTTTACATTCTTGATCATATTCCTTCCATATGACACCATCATATTTTGACTTTCCCAACACATTTTCACATCACTGACCAAATTTTAACACATGAGAAAATGTAAACAATAATGTACATCTAGAATAGTTCATACGCAAAAGATGAGGCAGAAATAGGAGTACAATAAGCCCCTATTTCGTGTCCATTGTTTTGTAACTCTTTTTGCTATAGGATAATTTTCAATCACGTTCACAAAATAAAATATTCTACGCGTAAATCCAAAACCTTTATTTATTTTTTTCACCACACATTCTGCTAAAAATACTATTTAAAACTTTTTTTTAAAATAATGGGCACCAAACAAGGGCTAAATAAGTCGTTAGAGCAACTCCAATCATGGTATAAAATTGGTGTTAATTAATATTTTTAAAACCACTTTTGCATCTTGACTTACATCTCAATGCATTTAAATTCAAATTTTGCTCCAAATGAATGATCTAGATTCACTTTTTATCTCTTGTAACCGTAAAAAAAGATGTGAATTCTACAAAAAATTTACATGTTTTCAATCACTTTGGAGATTTAAATCACAATTTAGACCTATTTTACACCACGATTGAAGAATCACTTATCCTCAGCCTCAGTTGTGGCTTGGTTCACTCAAGAAACTATTAGCTGTCCGTCACATGCAAGTGGCTTCTGAAGGAAAGCATATTGGCTCGACCAACAAGGTTGGAAGATCCCAAGTACTATCCTCAGGTTTAGAGGTGCAGTTTTATGTTTAGATGTAACGTAGGTCGTACTAATAACATTTACGCAGTCTGAAACTTGAATACCTTCTCTAGTTTTTTACTAATTCTAAAACAGCAAATGACATTCTGCCTGCAGCAATTTGTCTAGAAAGGTCATGTCTATGTTGGACTAAACTCTGAATCCATAGTAGAGGAGATTCTTTTAGAAGTTCAGTTCTTCATGATCTGCTTAGCTACTCGCCACCAACTTTCTCCTCTTGACCAAAACAGCAATGAGAATGGAATGTATTTTCTGTCTAACATTGGGTAAATTCCCTAAATGGTCACTGAACTTCAAAACTAGCCATGTAAGTCACTAAACTTTGAAAATTGGTACCCCATCCATCATCGAGTAAACGAACTTTGAAAATTGGTACCCCATCCATCATCGAGTAAACGATGCTTGCAAAATTGAAAGGATTAACGATATGGCTGGCATGACACATTGTAATCTCTTAACTTATCCAACTTCACCTGAATTCTGGGCATCAATTTCATCTGAATGCCTATCAACATATCTACCACTAACTTATCAATTTCTTCTAGAGTGAACTTACTTAAGTATTCACATAGGTTATAAGGAGAATTTTTGATGTAGTACAACTACAATTAGTTTCCTACTACTAAGATGTTTTATATTTTTTTAGAAGTTTATTTTCTATTTAGTTTTCTTGTGATAGGACTTTTATATTTTACTTCATTAGGGCTATATTTTCTTTATTGAGTAGAATTGGAGTTTTAATTAGATTAGAATTTTATTAATTTTCTAGTTTCCTTATTTTAATTTCCTAACACTACTAGGAATATGAGATAATTTGCCTATAAATATAAGAGTATTGTACACTTTTCAACAACAATCAATTATTATTCAATATATATATATGATATGATTGTTCAAATATCGTTTTATTTATTACATAATTCTTATTATAAGAATTTCATTACGCTTCCGTACCAATTTTGCTCTTCGACTAATCTAAAAAGTGGAACCTACTCCAATGATGTGCCAAGTTAACAATACTGTTAGAGACGTTATCATATCCTTCCAATTTTGCAAGCATACATCACTAGGGTACAAATTCCAAAGTTTAGTAACTAACCAGGACAGTTTCAAAGCTCAATGATCCTTTCCGAAAAGTTTAGTGACCATTTAGGAATTAACAATCCAACATTCCGCAAAGTAAATTTTCATGCAGCAATTATTCAAAAGTAAAAAAAAAAAAAAAATTCCAATGTGACATAAATCTAGTACTGCAAGAAGAAAAAAATATGAACACCTCCATTTGATTTATCACCAAGAGGATGAATATGACAAGGTGGGATGGTAATAATAGTCGAAGAGACATCAAAAAATTTATTAAAAAAAATTGAAAATGGCAAAATTTTGTTGGAATTTATAGATTAAATATAATTGAGAACGAGAAGAATAGAGTATTTGTATAACTCTGTTTTTTAATATTACTAAGTAAATGACCCCATTTTTCGGGTTACAAATAATTAGAATAGGAAAATTAAAACTACCTGCAATAATCTACTCTGTCAATGCCTACCATAATGTTTCCTTATGAAAAATTGACATAACATGTCCTATACTAAGAAAATGAAACTAGATTAAATTTACTAAATAAGGAAATAAATAAATAAAGTGGAGGATTTGATTGAACGAGAGTAAACCTTCCGAAAAATTTAGCACATGCTAATAGAAGCAATTACTTCTACCCAATCATTGCTGCTGCTAACATTCCCAATATTAATCATCGGTTGGCCAAAGCTCTTTATCTGATCATGTAAAAACAAGAGCTCAAAGAATTTACTATAACGGTACTGGAGGAAATTTGGTTATTGCTAAAACAGAGTATTTTTTGAAGTGAACGTAATGATAAGGTAGGTACCTTTTGCAACACGCTGCTTGTTTAATAATTGAGTCTTTGCCTTGCGGAAAGCAGAGGTGGGTGCCCTTTGAGTTTTCTGCATTGCAAAAAAAATGGGTCAAACAAACTACCATCTCAAAGATGACGACTGAAATATTACTCCATTTTCTCCTAGAGAAGGGAAAGAAGGGAAAAGGCAAAGAGTCAAAAACAAATGATCGTTGCCTTATACAAAACAAATACCATAAAATTATAAAAAATTAGTGCACAATTTTTAAAATTTGGACTCGGGTTTGAGGAGTAAAGACCACGATGTAGACCTTCAAACAAGCTTAGAAAATTTACCTGAGGAAAATCTTCATCATCTCTTGTTCTGTTTTCAGGCACGAAAATCTTAAGAGTGACCTAAATCAAACAAAATTTAGACATAAAAATATGTGAAAAAAATGCTGGGATCAAGTAATTATCTGGGGAAACACTTATAAAGCAAAAAGAAAAAAGGCAAAGAAGAAATGAAATAAACCTCCTCTCTTTCAGATACATAAAGTTCATTCCCTGAAGTTTGTTTTCTCGATGTGAAGTTGAAAACATCATGAAGAAACTCATTTTCCTGTGGGTAAGTAAACAGCATTATTCTGATTCAGAGACAACAGATTATTTCCAAGACAAGGTTAAGGACTATTGAGGAAAAAAACCAACCAGCATGTGTTTCACAAATCCACGTCTCAAAAATTGTTTCAGAAAGTTAGCCTGTAAAAATTCACAGAATAAAGTGAGAATATCAAACAGGGAACATTAACAATATCATGATAGAGAAAACTACCTGCAGCAACTGGGACCATGAATTTAACTTTAAACTTTGTTTACCAATCTTCAATGCAGTCTCACGAAAACAGCCATCCTAAAGATCAGATGATATATAATCAGTTCACCAAGGAGAATTGTTTGTCAGTAGCTTTGAAAACAAGATAAAGAAACACCAATACCTCTAGGACATTCAAAAGATTCAAGGAAAATTTGTGTTGCTCATTGAGAGAATTACAGACTGAACTCTTGGCAGTTTGTTGAAAATGACTCCTGACATGACTGGATATTTTCTCTTGCAACTCCTTCATAGACGAATATTGTTTTAACAAGTCGTTTTCCTTTTCATTTGTACCAATATCTGCACTGTTGGTATCAAACACAAATTTCTCAAGAAATCCCACTTCACATATTAAAGCTAGTGCTTCACCAGCTGCGATACGAACAGATGGATCGTCCACTTGTAGAACATCCAGAAAGACAGAAATTGCTCTGGAAAAAGTTTAGGCAAAAAACAATTATTCAAGATTACGATTCTATCCCAAACAAAGCAGTTACTAATTAGCAATAAACTGGATTTCTTGAATGCATGAGCATCATGGAAAAGCTATTATACAAATTTCACAATAAACATCCACTGAATCTCTAAACCAAGAGCCAAACTACAGCTGATGCTGGGGAAGAGATTATTGCCACAGCCGTAATATTAGGAAGCATATTTAACACAATTTATCTATGATAATATGGTTGATAGTGTTGGAGATTAATTCTCCGACTTCGTGATATGGACGAAGTGCAGTAACTCAAACATGGATGAATTTATTTTCACTATCATGTGCAAGATAATTATTCAAAAGGTTCTACTTACCCTTTCCAGTATTTGTAATTAATGTTCCAGCCATCTACGGTCGTGAGAAGAAGCGACCAAGCAGAAATAGCAGCAGAAAGAGCAGCTGATGAATGCTTCTTGGCTGCAACCTGGGAAGGAGGACCACATAATGTTGGCTTAACCTCAGTAAGATGAGAAACACATATAAAACGGTATGAATGTGATAGGCCACAGCAGGCACAGGAATATTCTAGAAGTAGGGAAGGGTATCATGGGGATTTAGTAGAACAAATGTTCTGTCTTCTAACTACAAATAAGAGGAGGGAAGTATATATTCTTTAAGGAAGAAATTAGGCAATGAAAATGGGGGACAGAGGCAACCGCCCGACAGCTGACCATTTATCCGTAATTGCATTCAGCTGATATAGTAATTCGATAAAATTCATCATTCAGCAACACCAGAAATACAAACATAAGCAGTTGGTTAATATTAAAATACAAATACATCACTGTTTCACTTCTGCAATCTGTAGATTTCCAGCAATTTAGCTCCAATTTTGATTCATTTAATCAGGAACATATCAGAATGTCATCAACAACAGACTAAGCTTCTGTTTGGCCCCCATTTTTAAATTCATTTTTTGCCAAACTCAATTTCAACCACACATTTTATGGGACCGCAATTTTTATCCACTTTTCAACCACTCATTTTATTAAATTTTATCAAAATCTAATTTGAATTTTATTCAACCTAAACAGGGGCTAAGTCTTATTCATAATAAATCTGGCACTGCTACATGAATCCTACTCTGCCTTCCATTCTGTTTGTTACTAGACTTACTGAAGATCTAAAGCAATGAATAGAATAGTTATATACAACACTAATTTATTGATTCTTAGAACTGGCGAGTTCTAGGCAATGTTCAGTTTCATTGTGGCATTTAAGAATTAAATAGCCAAGATTACATCGAAATAACCAAGCAACCTACCTGGATACATTATATCAGTCAGGTTTTTCTTTTTTTCTTTTTTTTACTTTCCCCTTTGGTTGTCTTAGACTAACTTTTAGTTTCAGTCAGTTAAAACAATAATGAGAAAGAGAAAAAACAAAGAAAAGGAAGAAGTTAAAAAGGCTACAAACCATTGGCATCTGTGGAAAATTAATGGAGCTATTTTAAGAAGGCTAGCCACAATTAGCTAAACTTTAATTCTTGTTGTTGGGTTCTGCAAATCTAAGATATCACCGAGTGCATAAACTACTATCTGATTGCATATTCTCTATAATAGTATTATGTGGTAGACAATCAAAAACAGAAACCTGGAAAAATCAGTCACTGTGAAGTAAATAAGAGAAAAACAGAAACCATATGGCATATCGGCACCTCATGTATTGTAGATTTCACCTCTATCCATTGGGCCTTAGTTTAATAGATGGGGATTCTTTAGCATATATCTACTATTAATGTGTGGCCACGTACAGAGAGTCAAAACAAAAGTCATAGATACAATATTATGTACCTACATTATCACTGCGTACTAGGTGAATGAATTGCCACAATATCTGCATGGATGTTTCTGTCTCCTCAAAATCACTTCCACCAACGAACGTCGCAACAGCCAAACAGTCAATGATCTACATACAACATAAAAAATCAGTCAAAGTACATCTCTACCCCCAAAAAGAACATGAAAGAAATGAGATAGTAAGAAACTAGAATTAAATTTGTCCAATACATAAGCTAGAGAACCAAAATGATCGATTAGAAAGCTGTAGCATTTAGAAATCAATTACAAAGTACCATACATACAGATAACAACATAGATTCAGTCCTGGATTTGAGAGCTTTTGAGATCAAGGGAAGTGACTCTTTGTAAAGTTCATGAGCATTATCCCCACAACCTATTGTGACAGCCAGCAATCCTACATGTACACGAGACACAATAGAAACCATTGTAAGCCTAATGAAATGGATAAAACAAAAGGATACAGATAATTAAAATCTTACATAGAAGGGCTAAACTAACCAAGTGCATGAGAAGCTAAAGCAATCTCTTGGGCAGACCCCTTCTTGAGGGAATATAAAAATCGGTACAGTAAAGTAGCAAAACTGCAAGAAATTAGCCACGGTAAAGAAACGAATGTCATTTATACACACAGAATTATCTTCCAACTAACTGCACTGGATATTTCATATTTGTATATAACTAGCCAAGACAATTTCTGTAGGTAGTAGATCAGCAATTAAATATAAATTCTACGCAATTGCAACCGATTAGAATAGTCTGTGAAACCATTAAACAGCTTTAATAAAGAACACCTGTATTACAGAAGAATATAGAATCTCACATTAGCACCTCTAACTGGAGACAGATAACATTTTACACCAAGAATCAGATTGTTTTTTTTTTATTTTTTTCCTTATATTTCAGGTTATCATAAGAACATATGTGCAAATATTCTCTAACTCCACTGGTGTCTACAGGGCAGTAAATGTCATTTTGCCTTGAGAAAGCCAGTCAATTCTAGAAGCCAGTGATGTTGGAGAGAGGAGATGGTAAATTATTCCAAAGGAGTGAGTAGATTACTTCTTTTGGGAAAACTGATGGCGATAGTTGATGGTAAAGTCCTCAGTTATCAAAGACAGTGCTTTCTCCCTTGTTGATCCCCTGATAAACATTAAATGAAGCTGAAATCAGGTATTATAAAAAGGATACTTCAGTAGCAATTAAAGAATGAAGGATCAAGTTGATAAAAGAAGTCAAACATGATTGATCTAATTTCTAAGAGAAATACCTTTTGGCAAATAAGTCATCCAGAAGTTGATTCATTGTCTTTACTACACCGGTTGAACTGCTGGTGACTAAGTATCAATATCTCATACTACAATTTTGTGGCAATCACAGCCTGCAACAAGAAGTGCAAAAATAGTTGTTACTCCTTCCCTGAATTATAGGCTCACCTTTCTGTCACCCTTATAATTGTTGGGAATCTGGGCCCATTTTCAGACTCGCCCCTCAGGATCCTCCAAAAAATGTCAAGAAAACATTGAAAAAATATAGGATTACGACGATAAAGGAAAACAATTACACATATTAAGTGGAAGACTCCAAAAAGTTAGAAAAACATTATGTAAAAAATCTTGACAATCACACAATATTTCTAAAATCCAAATACCCGAGTACATCCAAAAGCACTCTCACCCAAGCCCCATATTCTTGGAGTCTCTATTGTTTTTACAATTTTCCAATGGTCGCACTCATATAACTCCCTTTACTCCTCCCTATTTAATTAGTATTCAATGCAGAACAAAGTCAAATTCCCCTTATAAGTGGGATTATGCTACATAAGGAAATTTATAAGTTTCCTAGCAAGAGGAAACAACAATTGGTTTGAGTTCTTTCATTATTATTAGTGAATCCTACCCAAAGCATTAACTCACGACATCTCATGTGCATCACGATTGCCCTAATGTAAGTAAAAGGTGTTCTAATAAAAAATTATATATATATATATATAGCTCAGGGAAACATTAGATGTTCACCTCTACACCTCTACCGTAAATAAAAGTTTTTGCGTTAGTATGGTGCTAAATCTATATAAATGTTACCTTAACTAATAATCACCCTAACTGCGAATAGCACCAAATTAGTCTTATTATAATCGGAGGCCCCAATTTCATTATGCCCTGCTTTCATAAATCTTTTAATTGAAAATCTTGACAAGTAAAATTGCACATTTTCGAGTACTCTTTTACCACAGTTTCCAGAAACCCCCAAAGTCAATAAATATAATAAAGGGTTAAAAGTAACCAGATGAAATCAATCCTTTAGACAGAAACAAGTAGAACATAAATTAACAGATTCTCAAACAAGACTATTTTAAATGCTGGGGAGGGCAGGGAGAGTTAAACTTACCTGAGGACAGCTGGTGCGTCAAAGCTTCAACCCTAAGAGTTCAGAATTGAGAAATACTGTTCTGATTCCGGGATCCAACTGGAGGGAAAGGGCGAGAGAAAAGGAAATTTTGAATAAAGAACTCCTTTTGAAAATAGAATAGTGCTATTTATTTCCCATTAGGATTAGGAATTTCATGTTCTGTGTTAATTAGGCGACCCTTCGTATTTCTTTATCTTGGTCTTGGGGGTTAGATGCAATGTCGGTCTCTAAACTTTCAATGAACGTGCAATCAAGTCTTTCATCTTTAATTTTGAGCAATTAAGTCACTTGACTTTGATTTATGTTCCACTGTAGTTACTCCATCTATTGTCATTAGTCTAAAAGTCTGATCGGTAATGATTATGATAATTAATTTTTTGACCGTTCGAGAGAGAAACAACTTTTATCTGTGAATGAAGAAGTCAAAAATTACTGCTGACTATGTTAGGTAACAGTGAAAAATCAGAATTAAACAAGGCTAAGGGGGGTGTATTTAATCGAGACTTTTAAAGACTTTTAGAGATTTAAAAAGTTTGAGTGTATTCAATAGAGACTTTTATAGACTTTTAAAAAGTCTCCAGAAGTTACGGGGTATTCAATTGAAACTTCTTAAAAGTCTCTAGAAGTTTTGGGGTATTCAATTTAGAGGGACTTTCAAGGAATTTAAAATTTTTTGGACTTTCAGAGACTTTTTAATAGAAAATATAAATAGGATTTTTCTCCCAAAATCTCTCATCTATAGAGAGATTTCTAAAAAGAGTATGCTATTCTTATTTCCCTCTAGGTTTTTCCTTTATCTCTTCCAATTAGGTATTTCTTTGAATCTTTGCTATGAGTTTTCTTCAAATCAGGTTATGGTAAATTTTCACTAGTTGATCTCTATCTCTCCCTCTAATTTCAAAGATTCGTTTTAAAGTGAATGTTGTGAATTCTCATAAATATTCCTCGATATCTCACATTTAACACTGTGAAAAGCATATTTCCTTAAAAAAAAAAAAATTCCTCAAAAGTCTTTAGTAAAAGTCTCCACAAATCCAGGAAAAACTTTTACTAATTCCTACCAAATCCATAAAAATTACTTAAAATTTCACAAAGTTCACAAAAGTCACCCACTTAAAAAAGTCTCCAAAAGTCTTTAAAAATTCCAATTAAATACGCCCCCCTAAGTAACATGATACGCTAACGTGGACATTAAGACTAGTGGATGGATAATGTGTATAAAGAATGAAAAAACGATTATAGTATTTTTTATTTTTTCCTTCCTTGAGGTCTTCATTTTAATAAGCCAAAAAAAATATGATTTTTTGTTTGTGCATTTTTTAAAAGTGTATTTAAGTGGTTCATCCTTCTGTTCATTTTAATATGCACTTCAGTATATCACGTTAGTTGGACTAGTGGTGATGCATAGAGTGATCATAATCGAACATAAATCAAAGTTAGTTGACGTAATTGCTCGAAATTAAAGATTAGTCACATTGTTGCGTGTTAGTTGGAAATTCAATGACTGAAGATACATTTAACCTTGGTGTTGAAGATGGTGATTGACTATCTTTGGAAGTATAGATTCAAAGAACTTTCGGGAAGTGTTTGAAAATAGAGAATTGAGTAGTGTGAAAAAAAAAAAAAAAAAAAAATTGGCTAAGAATGCGGAACATGTAGACAAAAAAATGAGTAGTAATTATGAATTTACTTGTACAATTATTATTGACAATAATTGATGACAATATTGATGTCGTCAAAATCTGTTCCATTAATTTTAAAAATAGTTTTTGAAGTGGATTAATGTAATGTTGACGGGTATGATTATCAATCAATATTATAAGAAATGATTGTACAAATAGCACGACTCAGTAATTATAGATCTTATAAAATGTGTAGACAATGAATAAGTTTGATATAAAATTGTTATAACTTAAATTTTGCCAAGCATATTTTCATTGCTCCATTGACAATTGTATACATATTTGAAAATTCTATCGATTTAAATTTAAATTTAAATACGAGTTTGTATCACACAAGAGTGGATCACTAGAAGAGAGGGTGTTTTTTAAACTCTCAAAAAATAAAATCTAATGTATGTCGTGAGTTCATATTTAATAGGGTACAAATATCAATATCTAATAATATTTAGATACTTTAGTAGTGAAAAATTGCGTCTATTTTTCTCGAATTATACATGGATCAAGTATATTATGGGTAAATTCCTAGAAAGAAAAAAAGATTGCCTTGTCACGATGAAATTTATGATCTTGTTTGAACCACATTTTCTTTTGAGAGTGCATTTGGAATAGTAGACTGATAGAGAATGTGTGGTTAGAAAATTTGAATTTGCGTTTAATATTATTTTATTGAAAAATGTGTTGTTCAAAGAAGAAAGAAAAAAATGTATTTGAAAAGTAATCGGGATCAAACAAGGACCATATTCTGTTAATTTCTTATTATGTAACTTATTAGGCACTTGTTTGATTTCCTTCAAAATATATTTTTCTCTCGCTTCTTTTCAACTATACATTATTCAATAAAATAATATTATACGCAAATTTAAAACTTTTCCTCATTTTTTAATCACATATTATTTATTAATCTACTATTTCAAAATACATTATAACCTAAAAAATGGGTCTCAAACATGTGTACCCAGACTTCGCAGCATGTGAAATATATCTACTTATATTATATCATGTGATTTTCCCCCATTTCGAAGTTGGCCAAGATTAAGAAATGAGAAAATTTTCTGTCTAAACCTATCAGACTCTATTTTTATATTTTTAAATTTGTAGCATTAAATAAATAAGTAAAAGTCTAACAATAGCATATTAATTAGTCTCATCTTCTTTATTTTAGTGCAATAATGCCATATAGCCACATTCTTTGACACAAAGAATGACACAATGAGGTGGAAATTGGTTTTTAAAAAAAAGGAGAAAGGAAATGAAATGGCGTAGAGACCAATTTGTTTGAAATTTGAAATTTTTAAAACCATTGCCTCGACCCCACCCAAATTTTAAATTCGTTTCTCTGTTAAAACTCGTCAGCCCATTTCATATGCATTTTCACTTCGAATTAAAACCCGTTTCCAGGTCTTTGGCACAAGAACTCTTCATCCTCATTTTGGCGCGATCTTCAGACCTCAGTCGACTGCAATGGCGCAATCTTGTTACTAGACCCAACTACATCTCTTCTCTCCTGTACATGACGCATGAGAAATACCTATTTTGGCTGGAAGAGAAACCCAACTACAGTGGCTGGTAGAGAAACCCATTTCGTCGTTCTTCAAGAATCTTAATCAATAGGTATTTGATTAATATTTCAAGTTAATAAGACGCTTATAGGCTGATTGCGCAATTTTGTAAATAGCTTATAGGCCGTGACCCATATTTGGGGTTGCGGATTGGTCTGCTTCTTAGTTCCCTTCGTGAACATCAGTTTACTATGCATATTTTGTAAATCCAAATTTCTAACTTGTTGATTGTGTCGTCTGCATGTACTAAATTGAATGAAGAAAGCTGGCATTGGGAAAAGACTCTAGAACTAGACGAACCTAACATTTTTCAGCCGAGAGATGACCGGAAAAGGTATTGGTTTCCTTCTTTACCGTTTGGAATTAGGGAATTTGTAATGTGATTTTCTCTCTTTACAGTTTTTTGACTTGGTTACTGATAGAAGGTCTCACATTGTGATATGAGTAGGTAGACTGCACAATCATTAAATTAGACAGCTAGTGAATTTCCATAGAAATTGATCAAATGATTATTTGCATTGTAATCCACCATGATCTGAGTAGTTTCTATTTGAATTATAGTTACATAAATTATTTGACATGCTAATTAATTTGTTTGATGAAGGGAAAGAAATTTTGGAATATGTGGATGAAATTATACCGGTGGAGTTCGATAATAAGGATGTTGTGGATATTATGAACATAGCGGGTGATGATACGTTAGTTGGAGATGGTGTGATTGTGCCCGAGCCGAGTATGAAATTTAAGGATGAAAATGAAATTTTCAATTTGTACAAAAGATATGCATATGAAATTGGTTTTCCGGTTAGGAAACAAATTCGGTAAAGGATGATGATGGAGTATTGAGAAATGTTATATTTGTTTGCAGCCGTGAAGGAAAAAGAACAAAAAATACAAGCGCTTGTTTGAAACCGCAAACAAACGGAAGCAACCATGCAGAGTGGATGTAAAGCCAAGATCTACGCGTCCAAAGATGTTTGTGGAATATGGAAGATTAACAAGGTACATCGAGACCACAATCATAGGACAAGCCCTTCGAAGTCTAGGCTATTCGATGCAACCGAGAGTTGAGTGCACATGTTAAACGAAGACTCGAAGTGAATGACGTGGCAGGAATTCCATTACACAAGAGCTTCAACTCTACAGTTGTTGAAGCGGGTGGATATGAGAATTTGAGTTGCATCGAGAAGGATTGTCGTAACTATGTTGAAAAAGTTAGGCGTTTAAGACTTGGACAAGGGGACACATCAGCACTACAATCATACTTCTCTAAAATGCAGGCACAGTGCTCGGGCTTTTACTTTAGTATAGATTTAGATGACGATTTGCGTCTAAAGAATGTTTTTTGGGCAGACTATAGGAGTAGGCAAGCATATAAGGAGTTCGGTGATGTTGTCACATTTGACATTACATACCTCATGAATAAGTATGATATGCCATTTTTTCCTTTTGTTGGAGTGAACCACCATGGACAACCGACACTCCTTGGATGTGGTCTGGTGTCGATACAGAGACATTTGTGTGGCTACTTCAGACATGGCTGCAATGTATGCATGGACAAGCTCCATATGGGATAATTATAGACCAGGATAGGGCTATGCAAAATGCAATACAAATTGTGTTCCCTAATAAAAAACATAGATGGTGCTTATGGCACATACTAAAAAAATTGCCTGAGAAGTTTAGATACCATGTGGATAAGGGGTCCATATTTAGTACTATACACGGTTTGGTCAATGGTTGTCAATTTGCGGAGGAATTCAAAACTGGCTGGAAAGTTATGATCAAAACGTTTAACTTGTAAGATAATGAATGGCTGGCGGGTTTGTATGAGAACATGGGACATTGGGTACCTTGCTTTTTGAAAATCACATTTTGGGCAGGGATGTCGACAGCTCAACGAAGTGAGAATATGAATGCATTCTTTGATGGTTATGTACATTCGAAGACGACATTGAAGCAATTTGTTGAACAATACCAACAAACATTGAGAAGTAAGGTTGAGAAAGAGTTTCAAGCGGACTTCAAGTCCTTCTCGCAAATGGTGTCGTGTGCAATGAGTTATGAAATGGAGAAACAATTCCAAGCAGTTTACACAATTTCAAAATTCAAGGAAGTTCAAGAGGAGTTCAAAGGTAAGGTTTATTGCGACCCCACATCTGTTTCGGAGGGACTATCGGGGACGACTTATGAGATAAGATAAGACGTAATACATGACGAGCGTTAGAAGAAAAAAAACCTTTTTCATCTCATTTCAAAGAGACAAATGTGAAATCATTTGTAATTGTCACAATTTTGAGTTTCAAGGGATTATTTGTAGACATACGATCGCAGTATTGATCCGTAATGATATCAAATCAGTACCAGAAAGGTATATAATACAGAGATGGCGACGAGATGTCAGTAGAACCCACACGAGGGTAGCAGTGCATTATGATGGTATGGATAGTACTCCCGGACAATTGAGGTACGAGAAAATGTGTTAATACTTTGCTACATTGGCGAACATGACGGAAGACAATGAAGTTAAATCCGATGTCATAATTGAGTGGACAGATAGTTAATGTAAACAGATGATGACATTGAAGTAAAGTAGTAATAGTAATATCCTGTCCCCACATATTACTCACACATCATCTAATTGTAGAGCATCACTGAATATTGGAGGCGGTAGCATCAGGGATCCAGAATGTGCGAAAAGAAAAGGTGTCCCTAGGAAACTTTAGAAGAAAAGCCAATTGCAATCAAGTATGAACAGAGTTAAGGTAATGCCCAGATTTTAGTATCTAAATGTTATAAAGTCGTTGTAGAGATAATGTCTAATACCATTCCATGTTTTGCAGCCAACTTCGAGTTCAACGAAGAGGAAGAAATCGAAGGTCTGTGCAAGTAATACGGGAAATGATGCACATCTCTTTCAGTCACCTCAACAATTACACATGTCGCTACCTTTCTCATATACACATCTCCTTATGGTTAGTACTCAGCGTATGGTTTGATTGCAACGAAAATATACGATGAACTGATAATATTATTTCATGTAGGGTAGCAACCAAAATCTTCAATTCACACAACACTTGCAGCCCACATGTATCAATCCTCCATCCTCAACAAGTCTTCTATTCAATATGCAAGGTAACATAGTTGTTATATAGAACGTAATAGTTTACAAACATTATTCATTATGTACATTCATTACTATGTAATAAACAACCTTAAGTGGAGTTGATGTTGGAAGGTGTGGCTACAAGACATATGAATGATGCTGCTGACAATGAAACACGATAGTTAGACAATCACCTTGATGGCATAAACATCATCAACCCCAATATATGAGCTCTTAGCTGTGCTATAACCATATGATAAAAGTGAATAATTATTTGCCATATAACTTCCTAGCATTACCATACGATATGGATGCACACAACTTGTGCTGCAGACTTTGGAAAGCACACTAATAAGCTTTATTGTACCTAGACCTAAGTCGGAGTTTATACTATTTTTGTTGGACAATTAAATATTTTTAAATTCTGCTAACTATTTTTCTCCCATCTCTTTCACAGAGTAAGTTTTTATTTGCAGGTTTAGAGTGATTGGCTGTGGATTGAATTAAATACTTGGCCATGTGCATATAAAGAGACTGGAGAACATATCGTTTTGATATACTCCTTGATCCTTTCAGCTTCTGATTGCATTTGGCCTTAGTTCGAATTTGGAATAGCTTAATAATTGAGTTTGTATGATCTCTTAGTTACGAATTTAGTAATGACATCTGATTACTTGAAGTTGAGTTTGTTTAGTTCAGTTGGAAATTCCAAATCAGATTCCAAAGATATTCTTCAATTTCCAGCAGTAGAGAACAGGCTGATTATTCGGCAGTTAATTTATTAAGTTTTGATTATAGCCGTGTGATTGATGATTTGTTTTGATTCAAGTTCTGGGATCAACTTCTTAGTGTTTTTCCATATTTACCATAATGATATTTATCCCCAAAACACAAAAATGGAAGCAGGTCTTTTTCAATTCTTAATTTGGAGCAATGAATTTAAATTCCCTATTTAATACAGTTACTTTTCCAAGATAGAACTCAGCGCCAAGAAGACAACTTTCTGGGGAACTATTTTCATGCATTTCCAATCATAGAATCGCACTTGAAAGCGATTTTTGTATGATCAAGATAGTCAGCAATTTTGCTTCAACCAAATTTCCAATCATAGTGTCCCAAAAGCGCATCAAATAAATAAGTCATTAAAAACACAAACAATAGCATCAACTAATAAGGAGTCCGCAGTTCACAAAATTTCCTGTACAAGTATCCTAAAAACCCGTCAACTAAATCATCAAACCATTCCCAGCAAATTCAAATGCTTTACCAAAAATTCCATCTAATTAAACATACACATACACATACACATACACATACACATGAAATAGCAAAGACAGTTCAATTTTTTTGGGCCGGGTATTTGCCCAGTTTTTTAAAATTTGAAGTTCAAAACAAAACTGGGCGATTTAACCCGGTTGAAATAAGTGCCCCCTTCTTTCTTTTTATTATGTTTTTTTTTACCTGATTTTTCACCTCATGCGGTCAAACCAAGTGTCAAGCAGAATGGTTAAGTAGCATTATTATTTTATTTATTTGATAAGATTTTGACCCAATGAAATATTGTCACATCATCGATTAATAAGCAAATCTATAAATAATAATGTACATGCAGTACAATCGATCAATCAGAATGAATCGAATTTAAGTGTAACGGACTCAATAATTTTGTTATTTTTAGTATTGCTTTATTTATATTTGAAAATTAATATGTTGATTGCAATTATGAAATTTACATGAAAATAAAATTGTCAATTAAATATATTTGATTGATTTTATTTTCCACCTAAAAAAAAAGTTATACTTGTTTATTTTTTATTGATAGATAGATAGATGAGAGAGAGGGATAGCAAATGAGAGAGAAAGAGAGAGTGAATTACATAAAAAATAATAACTCACTCCCCGTAAAAAATATATGGTCAAATAACCAAAAGTTAGAAAATATTTTTCATTAAAAAAAATTACCCACAACTAGGAATTTGCATTAAAAAATGACATTTTTCATGAAAAAAATTGAAAATCAAATGCACTCTAATATCAATTTAACTGAAATTAAAAATAATAATAATAATAAAATTGACAGTTAACTTTTTGGAAAACATATCCATGAAGAATATAATTTTTCTCAAAAAAGTAAAAATCGCCTCTCATCCTAATGCAAACTTATACTGATCATATGTTAATACATTCATATAAAAAAGTAGCTTATGAGTTCACTTATATGCCACTCCAAGCCCGCTTGGAAGAAATCATGTATTAGTATAAGATTACAAGAGTCATAACTATTTTGACAATTTGCGGTTGTAATGGCATTCAAAACTGCATCAATGGATCCACTTAAAGGCATTGCTGAATACCAAAATTTCCAGTAGTGAATTGGATAGTTCCAAACTTAAAAAAGAAAACAATTCTAACAGAAAGTATACTCCTCAAGAAAGGTATAACTTTTTCCAATTTGCCGAAATTGGAAATTGACAATGTTGCTGTTAGGAAGCAAACATGAGACTATCTTATGCCTCTCTGCGGACAAAGTACAGCTTGCCCATGACGTGGAGAACAGCGACGAAGGCAATAAAACCAATGCTCATTACAAGCACAACATTGGGAGAAATCTTGAGTCCCGGGGCATCATCTGTGTAGAACTGGAGCATGGTTCCACTTGCTCCACCTGCAGACCCGCCACTAGTAGTTCTTCTCCTACGCATGTTAGCAGCAGCTGCTGCTGCAGTTCCTCTCTGGGGAGCAGCTCCACCAGTAGCCATTTCTGCACCCATCACATCAACCTTCAGAACCAAGAACTTCTCTACTAATAATATATACCCAAGCCAAAAAAAAAAAAAATGCTCGTGTAACTTGTAATTGGAGAAAAGTAACAGAGGTAGAATGATGCTAGA